ATTTGTTAATGTGGGACTCTCTGGGCAGGACCACAATATGGGTCTGCTTCTCGTCCAGAGTAGACATTTTATTCCTTGAGTAAAAAAAAAGAGTTCTTTCTTACCGTGTGTGTATGAAAAATTTTCCTCGTTCCTCAATTTTCACTGTTCCTGAATGTCCGAATTCACACACACACGAAACACAGTTATGAACAAGGTTGACTATGGGTGCCTCAAGCGGCAAGTCTCGTTGAATTCATCCTGTCCGCAGCGCCAAATGTAACGAGACTATTTGCCTGTAGTGCCAAATGTTAACGAGTTCTGCTCGACAACGCCAAATGTTACCGAGTCTAACCACTTATTCTACACAACATCGACCACAGTATAGATACTCGAAGATGCAGGTTCGCTATTGATCCTTTTATTACATGAATCAAAGAAATGCTTCACAATAATATAATGAATCAAAAGGAATGCTTCACAATAATAGTCTGAATCAACTGACCCCCAACAGTCCTCACTAGTCTTCACATAACTGAATGCACATGTCTATCGTCCTTCTTAACACAATACGGCTAACCCGTTCAATAACCAACTTGATACTGCCACACTGACTGACTGATCGAGAGAGAGAGCGAGAGAGAGCGAGCTCAGCCGTCGCCTTCCTATATATCCCCTTCGTATTCGTAATCGTATTCGGTTCTATCATAATCGTAATCGTAATCGATTCTAATCGTTGCATCAGAATGTTAATTACGCCGCTTCTGTCGTACAGTCCGATTTAATAAGCCATCTGCATCCTGTCACATCAAAGTTGACAGACCGTATTGCGTTCTTATCGTATCGCTTCCCAAGATACTACGCCTTGGCTTTCTGATCGTTATCAGCCAACACCTGTGTTATTGCATCAGTCGTGTCAAAGTTGACAGCGCTGTACTGCGTTCTTATGTCTCTGGTAACTTCCCCTAGTTACATATATATATATATATATATAATATATATATAAATTAAAAAAAACATCCGCCCTAAACCCACCCCAACCCCCGATTAAAGTCTACCCCCCCCCCCCCCCGAACGAAATGGATTTTATATAGAAAATATATAGAAAATGTATACTTTTAACAGTGTCCGCCCCGCCCCCCCCCCCTCCCACTTCGGAATATAAAGTCTGGAAGAAACTGTTGATAAGGAAGTAGTTTATGCAACACTAGTAGAAATATTTAATAAATAAATAAATAATATAGACTAATGGTTAGGTTAATGGGATTTTATAACCAGTAAAAAGACGAACATGGAGCTTTTTTTTTTCGCATTTTATAATTATCTGATCGAGTGTTTATTTATTACACAAGTGAAACAAAAATATACGTATTGTGATAACGAGGACAACAACAAAATGTAATGTCAACGAGCATGGAAATAATTAAAATAATTAAAACACATTATTGATTGTTAAATGAACAGGCCCCCAATTATCATTTCATTATTAAATGGATTTTAATAGGAAAGAAAATAGCATGTCATAAATTTATAGGTCATTGTAATAAATAAAGTTTCCTTTTAGGACCTTGGGCAGATGAAGTAGAGTTCATGTTTCTTGGCCTCGGTATGTCTAGGGCTACTGTTGTTAGCGTGGACGGAGTGGTCTAGCGGTAAAGAGCTGGACTGCTAACCCGTAAGTCTCGAGTTTGAATCCGGTTTCAACTCTGATGGGTACCCTAACTCACGTTAGGGAAAGTAAAGGCGGCTGGGCATAGTGCTGACCATACTATCTCTTCATATGCCGAGGTCACAGAAACAAGTGAACTCTACTTCACTTGCCAATAGACCGTCAGGTTTGAAAAGTGAACTTTACTTTTTTTTTTTACTGTTGTTAGCATTCGAACTAGACACTTTCGGGTTAATAGTCTAGCGCTCTGCCGCCAGGCCACGCCATCGCTTTCATTGTATAAATCTATTATATCATTATTTGGATTATATTTGGGTCATATTTTAGGTTATACTTTAGGTTCTATTTTGGGATCCATTTTGGTCATATTTTGGGTCATATTTTGGATTATATTTTGGGTTATATTTAGATGGACAATAGCATTAGTTAAACTCACGGTACGTTTAGTAAATTGAGAAATAATTAACGGAACTTTAATTAACTCAATAGTAATTAACGTTGCATAATTAGAGGTGAATGATCTCATAAACTTAATGAGATCACCACGAGTGAGTTAAACATGGCTGGGCAATTAGAGCGGAATTTTTTTACACATGGCTGAACGAGGGGGGATAAGTGGCGGCTGGGAGCTAAGTAAACGTCCACACGCCAACGTGGCATGTCGCCGTGACGTCACGCGAGATGACCGGAAGTCCGTGAGTTGTAACGTTTATTTGGTAACTAGTGTCAACACGCACGCAATGCATGATGACTTGGTTAGGGTTTGTGCTTGTTAAAAAAATTGACAGATTAACAAAAAACACCAAAAAGTGGACGGAGTGGCCTAGCGGTAGAGAGCTTGACTGCTAACCCGTAAGTCGCGAGCTAGAGCCCCGGTTCATGTCTGTAGACCGCCCCTGAGTCCACCCAACTCTGATGGGTACCTAACTCATGTTAGGGTTAAGTAAAGGCGGCTGGGCATAGTGTTGACCACACTATCCGTTCATATGCCTAGATCACAGAAACAAGTGAACTATACTTCACTTGCCCCATAGACCGTCATGTTTGAAAGGCGTGGTCGAGTCGGTAAAGCTCATGGTTGCTAAACCGAAAAGTCTCGAGTTCGAACCCTCGGGCAGATGAGGCTCGTTAGCTGGGGACAGTCACTCATCTAGGAGAGACAACTCCAAAATCAAACAACTGCTGCCTTGTAGTTTGTTCTTGGTTCGGAGTCAATGACCTCAATGGCGCATAACCAGTTGACACGTAATCCTTAATTGTGATGGAAGCATGGTCGAGTCGGCAAAAGCTCATGGTTGATAAATTCGAAAAAAGTCTCGAGTTCAAACCCTCTGGCAGATAAGGCTCGCTCCCTCCCAACACTAAAAATTAAGAACGAAGAAGAAGAAAGGAACTTCATTTTTTAAAACAAAACGCAACATCAATATTGTATTAGTCATATTATACCGTGAACCCCTTGTGAAGCATAATAACAACTCTCCATCGTACTCTTTTTTGGGGCAATTCTTTCAAGCTCGGTCCATGACATTCGAGCAGCTTCCGTTTCACTGTAAACTGATCTTTTCAAAGTTTTTTTTTTTTTTGACTTACCTACTTTTTTCGTTCTTTGTTCATTCCTTTATAATACCTGTCTAGTAATGTGCTATGTTGATTTGCGTAAGGTATTTAAAATTCGTCCATATTTTTGCTTTTGTACTTCTTTGCCATTAGACTTGTGTCCAGTATTTTTCCATAGCTTGGTGTTGGTAAGTTTTTCAGGCCTCCTGATGTTTAATATGCGACGCAGGCATTTGTTAACAAAAGTGTGAAGCTTATTGCTATTGACTGTGTATCTTTTCCAGTTCGTACAGAAAACACATTAGGCAGACGAAGTAGAGTTTTTCTGTTTCAATGACCTCGGCACAATAAAGGATTGTGTGGACAGCAGTATGTCACAACGCCTTTATTTCCCTAACCCGAGCCATTCACACCTATCGTAGCTGTTTGGACTCATACATACCCAAGCTAAGGATTCGAACTCGAGTCTTTCCGGTTATCACGCGTAAGCTCTTCCATCCGACCACGCCTTTCCCTAATATCGTATTTTAGCTGCGATAAATAGCCTTTTATTTCTTTTGTCTGCTTAACAAAAACAACGTTTGTTACCAGTGGCAAGCCTATAAATAAGGTTTTCCCATTAAGTAGGTATTAAGGCAAAGGTGTCAGATTGTCAGTAATTGAATGTCACACTGTCAGCAATTAGTGGTCCCTCTGTCAGTATTAGTCAGTATTAGCACGTTGCAAGCTATTGATTGCTAGCTTCAGCCTCTGTATCAAAGTTCTATTATTTGCATGGCTAAGTCGTTTGTGTTCATGTTCTAATCAGCTTTCAAAACAAATTGTTTTTGACGTTGACAATTTTTCTCAGTGATAATTTTTTTTTTGTGGTATTGTTTTCGAGCTGGTGGGTTTGTGTTGGTGGTAACTCATCAGTAATGAGGACCTTCAATGGTGGGAAATCTAAAGAAAACTACTGCTACTTTAATTTTTATTGTGGGTATTTAATTTTTTTGGATGATTGTTAGATAACGATGTACGAAAATAGACTCTTCCAAAAATAGGTGTGACAGGTTGTTAGTAGTATTGTAATCGACTACTTTTATGGTTATAAATTAGGGTTAGGCGTATGGTAGGACTAGGTTTGGGGTTAGGGTTAGTATTGACATTAGCAAGCGATTTGTGTATTTTAGTTAACTACCAGTAACCTATCACCCCTTTTCAAAGAAGTTTCTATTATCGGACACTGGAATAAAAATTACCCCAATTTAAAAAAAATAACATTTAATTTATTTTTTTCCGCTGTAGGTGGAATAAAAATTGTGAAACTTAAGGCTAATATTAGATTATGTTAGCGCTTTTAAGAATACTTTTTAATTTTCAAACAGGGGACATCAATCGAAAGTTCAACGTTAATAAGAATTCTTTAACGCTTTAACTAATATTTTCTCTCTCTCACTGTATAGGGGACATAACTTGGAAATTAAACATTTACGTTAATTTTAACGTTACAATTGTTTTGTCTGTCTCTCTCCGTATAGGAAACAAAACTCGGAAATTAAAATCATCACACCCAGTTTACACTTGCGACATGTAAACCATACATGTCTAAAAAAAACTTAAAACAAGTTAATTACATTTGGAAACATTTTCCCCAAAAACATGTATACTTGTGAATTTTTTTTCTAGACTTCTCGCAAGTGCGCACGTTGCGTATTAATTTTTTTCCTCTGGCTGACAGGTTTCTCTAGACAGAGACATAACTCAGATATAAAAACTAATTATATTTTAACCAAAAACTATTTTTTCTCTCTAGATAGGGGACATAATCCTGAGGATCAACGACATTGATTTGACGGACATGAGTTACCCTAGCGCGGTGGAGGTTCTAAAAGCTGTACCCATCGACACCCCCGTGGTACTCTTGCTGCGAGGGCCCGAGGGCTACACGACTTTCTTACAGGTGAGTGAACGCCACATGAACACACCTGGGGTTTGAAAGCCGAGTCTTCGTGTGTTCGAGTTTGTTGTGTGTTAGGTGTGTTCACTAAATGTGGGTCGAGGTCGGTGTGTTCGAGTCTGTTGTGTGTAAGGTGAGGAGTGTTCACTAAAAGTAGGTCGAGGTCGGCGCGGTGTGACCATGCGCATCGAGAGATTGTGAGGTAATAGCATATTGTTATTTTTTTAAAGAGTTGTCTTGACAAACAAAATCCCCCCCCCCCCCTCCTTCTTTTCAAACATAATTAATTCAACTAGATCTAGTAACTAGTAAACAGATTATATGGTGTTTTTCTTCTTCATCGTTCTTAATTATCTTGTCAGAAGAGATTTCCTCCACCACAATTAAATATTACGTGTAAACTTGGTATGCGCCATATAGGCTGTGGACTCCGATTTCAGCCTGCTTTTCTTTTTGGATTTGATTCAATATCCTATGTCCAACCAAGAACAAACTCCTAGATAGGTTGTTGTCCCCAGCTGTCCAGACTCATCTACCACTGGGGTTTGAGCTCTGAACTTTTCCGTTTAGCAACCACGAGGTCTATCGACCCGACCACGCGTCCTCTTGTATTGTGTTAGTTTTTATTTTTTCGTTGTGATTTGTTGTATCAAATGATGCGTGGGATGTCTAACGTGTATCAAATGATGTATGGGGTGTGTGATGGATATCTTGTATCCATTGATCCATTATCCACAGACCACCTTCCAAGAGAACGGTCTCCCCCGGACTGTCCGGATCACCAAGCCCATCTACGAGTCCATCATGGGACGGCTGAAAAAAACTTTCTCCGGACCGTCCGGTCAAATCTCTCCGGTCAAGGGGCTGAAGCGCCTCTGTAACGGCGAGCTGGACGGTAAAGGCAAGCAGATGGACGGGGACACGGACAACGACGCTGATTCCACCGGCGGTGGAGCGGTGGATGGCGGTGGAGCGGTGGACGGGGAGTACAGCAACATCGTGTCGGTGGAGGAGATGGACCCGGGGAAGGTCAGACACGGCAACGGTAGGGCGGGGCTGGAAAAACAGGAAAACGTCGACGCCATGAAGAAATTCTACCCGGGCGGGGAGGCGTCGAAATTTTTATTCAAAAACGAAGGCAGGGTGGAGTCCGAAGAAGAGACGGTCTTGGATAACGGCGCCATCGGCTCGCCGAAAATCGTCCTCACTAGCCCCAAGTCTAAAACGACCGGAAACAGGGATTCTTCCCTCCCGCGCGCGCAGACATGCGAGTCCGTCGCGAGCGAGAAAAGCAGTTCCGGCGGTTACAAGCGCGCCATCGAAATCGTTCAAGACGATGACGAAATCACGGTGGTGGTGCGCGGTGACGTCAGCGTGCGCAGCGAAGACTGCTCCTCCACGGACCCCAACACCCCCAGGAGGTTCATCATCTCCACCCAGAAACACCCCTGCCAACCCCTCACCCACACCCCCGCCGGCAACAACGGCCACACCCTGGCCAACGACAACACCAACCAGAACAGTAACGGCACGTCCATGTCGCCCAAGCGTGACGCCGGACTGCCGAAAACCTCCAGCCCGAGTCACTCGACCGGCGGCCGGACCAGTCCGTCCCGCAGTCCGGCGACTAGTCCGACAAAAACATCCAATAGCGATGACGATAATGCACGAGGCCGAAGCACTGAGAGGAAAAAGAAGTGAGTATTTGATCTTTTAACTACGTTTGGCTTTGTTTCACTCAACTTAGCGTTAACAATAATACAATAATAAACAGTCAAAGGACGCCTTTATAGGAAGAGTATTCTTGATCAACAATCAACTTTGTGAAGCTGGAGCTTCAATAGTACTAAATACATTTCTGATTTGCGGATTGACCGATTGAATAATTGACTGTTTGACTGATTAAATATTTAACTAATTGACCAAATTCACGAATGACTGACTGATTAATGACCGAATGAACGAATGACGTATTGATTGACCAAATGAACAAACGACTGATTGAATATTTGACTGAATGAACAAATGACCGATTGACCAACTGACTCATAATTATTGACTGATAAACTAGGCTGACCTTAGCTGACCTTTCCCGGACTATTAAGCTGTGACTGTCACACTCATGATCGACCCCCCCCCCCCCCCTCAAGGCTGACAAACAGGTACCTGACCATCACCTGGATAATTAAGAATACCGATACGATAATAGACTCTTCCAAAAATAGGTGTGCCATGTTGTTAGTTGTATTGAAATACCTAGTTTAGTTATATGGTCCGAAATTATAGTTAGACGTTTGGGTAGGACTAGGTTTAGGGTTAGCGTTGACTTTAGCAAGTTATTTGTGTAATTATGTTA